ATCCTGCCAAAGCCTGGCATGGATGGATCCTGCCAAAGCCTGACAGTGCTGTCCACCTCCACAGACAGTCAGCAAGGGGTGTGACTGGCAAGGAGCTGACGCAGGCAGAAGTCACTCAAGGTGCACAGTGTGCTGCTGCTATTGTCAGATATCAGCCTGGGAACGTGAGCCAGTTGAGGAGTTTGACCAGATGTATTCCTCTGGAGTACTTTATGTGGTTTTCTTTTGTAGAGCATCTCAGAACAGAAATTAGGTTAATGCTTAAATAATAAATTTCATTTATTTTCTGTTCGATCCATGTCAACTTTTATCATCAATTGTTCATAGAAAAGAATAATACAGTAACTTTTTATCTATTCTAGCCTCTGCTTTCGCTCTAGGTTGAGTGTGGAAGTCTCAGTGCAGAGATATGTATGGAGTGTTGGCTTGGATATTTCCTAGGGTGGGGAGGAGGGTGCTGAAAACAGCTTGTTTTTTTTTTTTTTTTTTTTTTTTTTTTTTTTTTTTTTTTTTTTTTTTTATTTTTTTTTTTTTTTTTTTTTTTAGTCATACATTGAACAGTTGTACTGCTCTAGTATCAGCTCACAAGAAAAACGTGGGAGTTGCACCTTTTTTTGCTGGAACGGCAACCTTGTGGTTTTGTAATCAGAATCTTTGACCTTCCAACTTTGAGAGTTAATGGACTGCTTCTAACCTTGCTTCTAACCTGCTAACCTTTGATCTTACTGGTACAGGTGACTTGTAAAAGGAGGTAAAACTCTTGTTGGCAAAACTTGTGTGATCATTGAAGAATCTGGGCTTTCCCCAGGTTAGGAAATTGCTTCCTCAAGAAAGGGAACTTTGCAGAAGATGTTAGGTATTCACTCTTGCATTATTACTTTAACATGTATTTAAGAAAAATTCTTTTCTTCCTGTGCTGTTATAGACTGGAGAGGCAAGTAATACTTAAGTTTTCAACACATGTTGCTGCTGAGCCACTTTTAGAATTAAATTTTTTTGTGTGTGGATTTGTTTGATGGGGTTTTTGTGTTGTTGATTTGGTTGAGGATTTTTGGTTTTGGTGGTTTGGTTTTATCTGTGTGGCATTTTTGTTTGTTTTTTCTTACTTTTCATTCAGAATTGAGAATCAGGAGTAAAGTTGAGGTCAGGCACTGATTCAAAAGAAGGTCAGATGGCTGAGTCTCTGTTCCTGCCCTCACAGAGGTGAGGCTTCTGTTGTTTTCCAATCCAGAATAGTTTTTTGGATCCGTTAAACAAGATTTCAAGCCTGAAATAGACTTTTATCCCTCTCTATTATGAGGGATGTTTAAAAAATGCAAGATTAAGGACTTGTTCTTGCAAATCTATTCTGTTTGCTCTGAAGGGTCAGTGCCACAGGCTGTGTTCACAGCAAGAGGCCGGCTAAAACAAGACATTAATGTCAGTAAGGAACAAAGTTTGGTTGCTGGTCCTGGGACAGGGCTTTGCCAGGGCTGTTTATCCACTCTTGCATGGGCAGACTTTTGAAACCAAGATGAGCATTCTCTTCAGAGCATTTTAATTTGTTGTTTAGTTTGTGGATCATCTGCCAGTGATGGGATGTGTGTCCTGTACTGATTTTCATGCTGTCCCTGAAATCTGTCATGTTAGATTTTGACCCAGGTTTTGCACAGGTTAAACCAGCTTTTTAATGGTTCTTTGTACCTACTTGAAAAAAGTGAGGGATTATTATCTTGACAAGCATAGTATATTTTCTGGTTATATACTAGTAGGTATTAATTAATATACAGTTGAGCCTGATTTCTGTTAATTAGTTAGGTCTTGTGCTGATCATAATACAAACCAGGTGTCAAATCAAGTTGAATAAGATGACTGATAGCTAAAAATATCCCCCTCCTTTAAAAGAAAGTGGGAGTAGGTAGAGAAGCTGTACGACTCAGAAGTTTCAGGTTAACATTTTGGATCCTGTTATTAAAAAATGATTACTGTTTCATGGTGGAATTAACTTGCATTGTGTGGAATCTTCATTTGTTCTTGCCATACTCAAGTCATTTACTGGAAACTTTGACCATATAGACGTTTTGTAAGAGGTGTAACTTGGGAATTGCTATTGCAATTGGAATATGTCTGTGCTGTTTTAGAGAGGGACTTCAGCTATGAATTAACTGTTATTTTCTGCAAATCAGCAAAGTATGATCTTAAGTTATTAAAATATGCTGAAAAGCTTCTGTAAATCTTTACATGTTAGAAATTTAATATTTCTCCCCCGTGTTGTGTGTGTGGATCATTCCACAGCAGTGCTGGCTGTGGCTGCTGCTCTGAATTAACAGAACTGGATACAGGCTTGCTGACATCAACTCTCTTGGCATGTGCTCAAAAAAGTAAACAGAAGACAATCAGTGTTGGGTTTGGCATAACTAGCAAGTCCATAAAACTGCCAAATCCTTCTCAGTGTATTCATCCAATTAATCACATTGATGTAGGACATTCACTTAAATAAGTAAAACATACTGTATCTGGATTTTAAAAGTTCTTGTCTTAAAGTTTCCATTTTCTACTTAATTAGTAACCACAATTTTTACTTAAATAGCATTTTTCTTGTTTTTTGATGTTCTTTTGTAGAAAAAAAATGAATTCTGAAAGCTCAGCCCTTACCATGAGTAGCCCTACTGTAATAAACCAGTGTGCCAGAGGAGGAATGGAACAAGAAAAAGTTTGGTAAGCTTTACTTCTAATTTTCTAAGAGGTTAGTAGACAGCAATACTGGAGATGTAGTTTGAATATTAAGTAAAATAATTACTTGTTATAACTGATGCATTAAGTCTGCATTATTTAACAACAGAGAAGGAACAAGGGAAATTTTTAATTTTGGTTTTAAGTTTTTAGCAGATGACATGGTACAGGGTGTCATGGGGGATGGGCTGTGGAAAAACCCCTGTTCACTTCAGCAGTGCAGCAGTTGTGCTCAGGGAATCTTTCACATATGGCAAATGTTTTAATCTCCAATGCTGCAGCCATGCTGGTACCAGCACCTTCAGTGCTGTGAGGCTCCTGACATTCCTGCCCTGGGAGACATTACAAAGTCAATAGTTTCTAATTTGTGAATAGGAAAAAAAATTACTCTGTGCTGGACAAAAAAAGCAATTGCAGTGTTAAATGGTAGACGTGGACAAACAATTTTTTTTGTGAAAATTGCCATAGACAATGCAATTTTTAGCACTGGATTTGTGTTTTCATGAAGGGAGCAGGGTGTTGAAAAAGCTTTGAGACTATTCCACCTGGATTAATGAGAGCCTTTTCTTGAGAGCCTGCTGGTTTTTACTTGCTGTTGTTTGCTAGGGTTTTTTTACATTATTTATTTACTATGTGACAAATCAGTAAATTCCTAACAGGAAACATGACAGCCATATGGAAAAAACCTACCTTATGTTGTTTTTGTAGTCTGAGAAATACTCTTGAAAAGTTAAGAATTAAAGAAATATTAGCAAATGAATGTTCTGTTTCCTGTTGCATGCTTGTCAAGAAATCGAGATTTTTTTTTTTTTTGCTTTGGTTTTATGTAATATTAAATTAACAACATCAAATAGTTTCTTTTAAGCATTTCTTCTGGAACATTCTCGACAAAATTTTTGGATGAAAGGGCAGGATGAGGAAAAACTGCGAGCTTCCCTCCTGAGTCACAAATCTACTGAGGGGTGGAAAATTGACACACTTTTTTTGTTTGCTATCTTTGCTGATTTTTATATCCTGATTGTGGTATTATCTGGGGACATTTCTGTTTAATATCTTTATCAATGATCTGCATGAAGAGATGGAAGGCACCCTCAGCAGATTGCACCCCAAGTCAGGTGGGAGTGTTGATCTGCTGGAGGGCAGGAGGGCTCTGCAGAGGGATCTGGACAGGCTGGATCAGTGAGCCAAGCCCAGTGGTGTGAGGTTCCACAAGGTAAAGGTGGATCCTGCCTTTGGGTCACAACCCCCTGCATCTCCAGGCTGGGGACAGGCTGGAAAGCTGCTCAGTGGAAAAGGATCTGGGGGTGCTGGTTACAGCAGCTGAACACGAGCCAGCGTGTGCCCGGGTGGCCAAGAAGGCCAGTGGCATGCTGGCTGTATCAGCAATAGTGTGGCCAGCAGGACCAGGGCAGGGATTGTCCCCCTGTACTGGGCACTGTTGAGGCCACAGCTCCAATCCTGGGCTCAGTTTTGGGCCCCTCACTACACAAAAGACATTGAGGGGCTGCAGTGTGTCCAGAGAAGGGAAACAGAGCTGGGGAAGGGGCTGGGGCACAGGGCTGATGAGGAGCAGTTTGGGGAATTGAAATTGTTTAACCTGGAGAAAAGGAGACCCAGGGAGGACTTTACCAATAGCACTGTGATGCCTGTCTGGTTAGGTTTCTAAAATACTATTTTTTTATTCCGGGGGTCTGTGAATACTACAGAGCTGAATGAGTATTATTTTTGTCAGCCTAATAAAGTGCAATGGTGCACTGCCTTCCTGCATTGTTCATTTATTGTTGTTTATTTTTATTCATTGTCTGATTCTTGGAACTTATTTACATTCTGATGGTTCTGAGTTTATTTTCGTGAAAATGTGAGTATTGGTAAGGACTGGTGTTAGTCATAGGAAGATTGGAAATGTCTATTGTTAAAAGTATACAGTGGCAGGGTAATATATTTAATTAAGTCAAAAGGGCTCACAGAGAAAAGCCCTGAGCAAGACCTTATCTAGCATTTAAACATCACTTACAATGCATGTAAAAAGCTTTGATGTTGCATAAAGCCCCCTAGAAACAGAGAGGAGAGTAAATAATTGACTCAACCCCAGTTACCTTGTACAGCCATTAACCAAGTCTGCCATTCTGGTTCATCGGTGTTTCACATCTGCATACTTTGGTGCATCTACCAGATGAAAAAATAATTGAATTCTCAAACTTGCAATGCTTCACTTGGTTCTGTTGCTTTTTTCCCTCCCAACGTACATAAACAAGATTACAGCAGCAGTAGAATGCTGGTAGTAGCAGAAGTGTGACTGCTGTGAATATCTGATAACTGCAGGGTACCATGGCACAGATCATGTGTGAACCAAACTAAACTGCTCTTGATAAGCAGCAAGGTGGAGGAACGTGGTGGATGGTCATAACATCAACAATATCAGCTGTCTAGCTGGTGTGGAAGAGTGTTCAACAATCAAGGCTTGAGAGCCTGGAAACTAGAAGCTCCTGATTTGGCAGATTCTTACTTTCTTAATGTTGAAAATTGCAAGAAAGGAACTAAAGATAAGGGAGCAAGTGGGAACTATGTCAATGCATCCACACTTTCTGTGAAAGTAGCTGGCTGGCACATGGTTTTTCAAAACAAATGTGCAGAATTAGAAATTTTCCAGGTGTCACTGTGTGTGGATTTTAAAACATGCTTCCTCTAGGCTGGGTGAAATCTTGCTAGTCACTCCTTCATCGTGTTACTTAGGATTAGGTCAGCAAGTATTTAATCATTTTAAAACTAATAATTGAAATGTGGTTCTGGATGTCTCATGACAGAGTTTTTGGTGCCTTGGCTTTCTATTTCTGCCTCCAAATACTCTGCCATGTTCCTTATGAAGTATGCAGTGTTCTGCTGTTTCTATGACAAAGTTTTCATCACTTTTAGACCAAATTTCTCTGAAAACTGTCCATGTTATGAATAAATAAATCTATAAATCTTAAAACTAACCAAACAAGCACTGTTATATGTGGACTCCAGTGTGTTCTGACTCTGTACATGACTTGGCTTAAACTGAGTTTGAGGACAGAAACTTCTTACATTTTTAAAAAAAATATTTTTGTTTTATGCTGTAACAGATTGTTTTTGTTTCAGCTTTCCTTTCTAATCTAAGACTGCTGACTTTGTGTGGAAAGGAAGCTATTGAAACTCCAGTCCATAGAGTGAAAAGGAAGATATGCTTAGATACTGAATTTAGATATTGCAAAAAGTAATTTGAAACCCAGCTCCATCATTGCATACATTAAAAGAGAGCAGCTTACTGTCATATCTCAGTGTGCACATGTCTAGAAACTCTTTGGTATAGAAAAAGTAATTATTCTGGAGTGTTGTACTCCAGAGTAATTTGTATTTGTATATAATTTGTACAGATTTATATTCAAATTTGTATTTGAAGTGCTTTTTGTTTGTTTGCTTTTTAAATAAGTTTATCTTTTTAAGAACGAAATAGAAATAACAGGGTCAACTGAGATTAAAACAATACTTGAACTGACATCCCCATGACTGAGTAAAAGCAAGCTAGGAAAGCAATGGTGAGCAGCAGCTGAAAATCTGCATCTTCACTTAATATGGAACAATGTAGATACCACATAGATGTTACCTTAATGCCTGTGGTTTTAATCACAGCCCTTCTTGCTCAGTGAGGAGCAGAGCAGCTCAATTGCTGCATTCTGAACCTCAGGGACAGGCAAGTGCACGAGGTGATTCGTAGCTTGTGTGGGAAGTGAGGTTTCGTGACAATAAATCATCATGACTCCCTTGCAGCTTTTGCCAGCTGCTAGTTGGTGAAGGAAGAATTATGTGTCTGGAATTACAGTAAGAAGAGAAACAAGTTTCACAGCTTTTCCCTGTTTCTCCTATATCCTTGTTTAATCAGTAGAAATGACTCATCCTGAAGAACTGAATTAAACTGTCTCTAATCAAGTGCAGTTTAACTGCAGATGTTTGATTACAAAAGGCACATACATGTTTGGGGAATACAAGGTTACAGTGTGTGCAAAAAGGAAGCCCTATAAATTACAGATTAACATTTCAGATAACTGAATAAAATTAATCTTATCTGCAAGAGGCCTTGAATTAGTTGCTTTCTAGTAATATCTTATTACAAAGAGAGAATATGCTTTTCTTGGAAAGGCAAAGAATATTCAGGATAGTTAGCATAAAATAACAATTATGACCAACTACTTTTAATAAAGCAGATAAATATTTACTGTTTATATATATATATATATATAATCACTTGTATCTTACCTCACTTTCCTAGTTTATTTAAAGTACTTCTCTGTCCATAAAAGGAGTAGTAGAATTGAAAATTGTTACAAGGGAATCACTTGCATGGGGACTTGCAGCCTGAGACCAGTCCCTTAAAGGAAGTGGATGAAGATCCAGGAGAGTGACGTAGGAGATGGAGAGGGTGACTCATGAGCACACCCACAAACAGTGAGAGATGGGATGTGCTGAAATGGTTAAAGTAAGTGCACTCACCAACTGCTGACTTTGCCTCATGCACACATGAAATGGGCTTTGTAGCTGAAGAAAACATGCCCCAGAGGCAAGTACAAGTTTAAACATATGTTCAGTCATCGTGTCTTACAAAACTAAGTAGGGATTGCATTTCCTCCTCCTGGATGGGAGCAAAACGCTCTTGATTCTGCCCCGGGAGAGCCGCGCTGGGGCTGCCCCCGGCCCAAGCCCACGAGGTGGCAGCCTTGCTCCGGGTGAGCTGTGCCCGCTCCCTCCTGCCTGCTTTCCTTCCCCTTGGCTTTTCTCTGGGATCACATCAAGACATAGCAGCAGAGGTGAGTTACTAACTGCTTGTTAAAAACCACCTTACTAAACTATGGCTGCTGCTTGGTGGTTTTTTTACAGAGGATTCATTTTTTCTATTTTTTTGATGAAAGATTATTGCTCACTAGATTCCTGGATAAAGCTGCATTTTGTACATGTGATTACATTGTCTT